TCTTCACTGGGCAGAAATTCTCTGTGTGTTGCTTCCCGATACATAGATGATCAGAAGTCTTGCATTTCTCAGTCTTGTGGTCATCAGATTGCTGTCCTGCTGCATTAGCTACACATCAGGTCCCTGTTTGCTGGGCGGTCCTCTCTCCAGAGATAAAAGCTGACAGAGATCTTCTCACAACATGGAGTGTGAGAAACCCAGGCAAACTCTGTGAAAAACCAACCAACCAAGTTGCGGTGTTTGAGCAATAGGTCTGGAAGCAAATGACTGAGGCTCTTTCAGTAGAGAGCCTGGAAGACTAATTAGTTGTCAGATATTTCTCACTGGTGACCTCAAAGGAGTGGGGAGCCACGGCCAGCATTTACTTTCTACCTCTCAGTTTTAAACCGGAAGTCAACTTCAACATAATTTGCTTTGACAATTGTCCCCTGTTGTGTTTGCTTATGGGACAGACTCCTGGGTAAACACGGCGACAACTTTTCCTGCAAACTTCGATTGTTTTCCAGCATCTTTCCACCTTCTGCATCCCTGGCAAACTCTTTCTGAAGTGTACCTTGCTCTTCCACTCTCTCATGCCCGACACAGTCCACCGGCTTTGGTTGTCTCTCCCCTTGAAGTTACTCTTGCTGAAGTCTCCTGGGACCTCCACGATGCCAAACAAAAGGCATGTTGCCAGTCCCTGCTTTATATGACTTCTCTGGAACGTTCCCCTCTACCAAACACCCACTTCTTCCTAAATCTGTATTTATTCTTGACTTTGTTGGATGACATCACATTCTTTTGGTTTTCCTCTCTCCTCTCTGGCTGCTCCTTTATGGGTTCCTTGGTGGGTTCTAGTGTCTCCTTCCTTATGTGCCAATGCTTCCCAGATGCTATTCTCATTTATACATTCTTGTAAGCACGTTCATCCAACCCATAGCTTCAGCATCACTTCTGTGGTGATAACTTCACATCTACATGTTTAGCTCAGACCTCTTTTGCTAGAGTGTCAGACGCATACATGTGTTATAAGCTTCACCTCAAACTTACCGCGTCCAAATATCTTCTCTGCTTCCCAGGTCTCCTGTTTCTCTCTCGGCATCTGTCCAAATTAGATAAAACTAAAAAGCATCCTAGATTCCCATTCTTCCTCATCTCGCACTTAATTGGTCACCAAGGAGCGTAGAGACTACTTCCTGATCATGTCACCTGTCTTCTCCATCCTGTCTGCCTTTGATCAGACTCTGTTCCACCTCATCTGGATTGCAGCAGGCCCTCGGAGCTGGTCTACCTGCATCCAGTGTGCCCACCTCTTCCTGGACTGGCACATACTGCTACGTGGATGACCCTTATAAACTGCAAATGTCATCAGGTCACTTTCCCGTGTAGCCCCCGTCATTCCCCCCTGCCTTCAGATGAAAGTAAAATCCTTCTGGTTTTGTGTGCTGGGTCTTGCATTTTCTGGATATGGCCTTCCTCTCTTGCCTCATCTGCCATCACCCCCACAGCCCCGCTCTCTCTCAGCCACTCTGTAGTGTGTGTAAGTTGCAAGATTTCTTACCTCCACTTCTCCTGTGCTGTTCTGGAAATACCCTTCCCATCCCCTTTGTTTCTAATTAGTTAATATTCATCCTTTACATTCAGTCGAAGGGTCACCTCCTCCAGGGAGCCTTCTTGGATCCTCCCATCTGATTTAGTTGCCCTCCTCTGTTTCTTGTAACTCTCTCATAAAACCTATAGTATATCCCTTGTAATTCTGTCTGAATTGTAAACTCCTTAAAGATTGAATTCGTTTTTGGCCTGGTGTCTTTATACGGGATTTATAATTTCTTCCAGTGTATTTAGCATGTTCATCTATTGCACAGGGTGATTATGCTCCTAATTTTTCATACTTTCTGTATTTCCCAGGTATGGGGTCCGGAGGCATGAGCAGGGCCCATGTTCCGCTCCTCAGAGCCAGAGTTGTGTATCCTGCTCTCCTCCCCAAATTGTCTCTCCATGCCGTCCCCTCCCTTCCCGGACTAGTTCCAAGGCCAAGCAGCTTTTCACCAGGAAACGAGATGTCAGGGCCCCCCGCTTCTGGACCTCCATAGCTTGAGGTGCTGTTCTCTGGGCTGCCAACGCACGCAACGGCCCCTCCCTGTGGGCAGGTGAGATGAGTGACAGGGATAGACTGCCTTTATGACCATCAAACTTTTCCTAATCTGGGTCCTCTGTCATATTGACTGGGCCAGAGTTGAGGGAAGAGGAGGGTGTCGAAGCCTGTGCTGTTGACCTGCTCCAAGAGAGGGTGGCTCTCTGAGCTTAGAATTTGAAAGGCTGTGCGCCCTTTTTCTCTCTTGGTTGATTCCAGAAACAACAGTACTAGCTGAGTGCTTACTGTGCACCATGAACAATTCTGAGTGTGTACATTTAATCTTTATGACAACTGTCCGATAAAAAGTTAGTCGTTCTTCTCAACTGACATACAAAGTCATCAGCTAGTAAACGGCAGCCCAGACTCAAGCCAGTCTGGTGCCAGAGCTCATTTCTGTACCCTCTGGGCTGCACCGCCTCACTCTGCCGCTAGCTGGTTACTGTCATATTTGCTGCTCCCAGCAGTGACTGCCCAGCTCCGTGCCTGGTCAGCGGGAGCCCCTCCCTGTGCCCGGGTGACTCGAGGAGGCCTCGTGATGTTCTCCTTTGCCCCTCCTTTACTGTTACCTGCTAAATATGGCTTTCGAGTGGTACCGTCTCTTGGCTGGCCCACTGTGGCTTCGAAAAAATGCTCCCATTGGAAACAATTATTATCTTTTATTTACTTAACAGTTTTCATGCCATTTACTTTCATTGGTTTTTACTATTTTTTTTAAGTTTATTTATTTGTTTTGAGCGGGAGAGACAGAGAACAGAGGAGGTGCAGAAAGAGAGAGAGGGAGAAGGAGAGTCCCACTAAGTAGGCTCCACACTAATAGTCCGTAGCCTGATGCAGGGCTCAAACTCATGAACCCATGAAACCATGACTTGAGCTGAGATGAAGACTCAGACGTCCCACTGACTGAGCCACTCAGGCACCCCAACCAACCACTTTTTTTTTTTAATTGAAGAAGTAATCTGTACACATGGTAAGATATTCACACTACAAAAGGTATCCACAGAAAGCAAACATACCTCCAGACTCCCAGTCTTCCATCCGCTCCCCAATACCCTCCCCTCATCCATTGCCGGGCCAAACGCCATCACTTTCCTTATGAAATACTGTGTGTAGCAAGGTTGTAGATTGAGCTCATGTCACAACTTACATGTGTTGATAAAACATATGCTGTTTAGTTTTGTCTATAACGAATCGAGCCTGCCTTCTAGCCTCCCACCCCCACCTCTCCATCACCCTTGCCCACAGACTGATGACAAAAATTAACCCAGTCTCCAGGATTGTTTAATTTTTTTTTTTTTATTTTAGAGAGAGAGAGAGTGTGTATGAGGCAGGCAGAGGGAGAGAAAGAGACAAAATCTCAAGCAGGCTGTACGCTCAGTGTGGAGCCCGATGTGAGGCTCCATCCCACGAACCTGGGATCATGACCTGAGCTGAAATCAAGAGTCAGAAGCTTAGGGGCACCTGGGTGACTCAGTCAGTTAAGCATCTGACTCTTGATTTCAGCTCAGGTCATGATTTCATGGTTCATGAGTTCAAGCCCCACATTGGGCTCCATGCTGATAGTGTGGAGCCTGCTTGGGATTCTCTCTCTCTCTTTTTCTCTCCCTCCCCCCCCCCAACTCTCACTGTCTCAAAATAAATAAACTTTAAAAAAAAGAGTCAGAAGCTTAACCGACTGAGCCACGCAGGTGCTCCCAGGCTTGTTTAAGCCTTAGTTCTAGCTGGTAGGTTAAGTTGTCTCTTGAGGGGGGATTCAGGCTGGCTTGGGTGAAAAGATCAGTCTCCCAGAGATCCTGTCCTTCAACCCGCTCCTTTCATAACAGAGGAGAGGGAGGGAAGTAGTGTGGCTTATGTGACCTCGGGCCAGCACTGTCTCGCCCGCGTAGTGTGTGCCTGCTGTCCTCTGGCCCCTGGGCAGTGCTCTTCACCCAGCTGGTCGGGGAGGCCCGGCAGACTCTGGTGCACAGATGAGTGTGGAGAGTCAGGGTGTGTTGTTGGCGCAGTGCTCCTGGCCGTTGTTCCTGGCTGGTGTGATCTCAACGCAGCGGCTGATGGCTCTGTCACTCTTCAGGATTTGGCTGAAATGCCCATTCAACCCTGCTCGGCTAGTGTTTCTCCACAGAGCCAGTTTGCCCGTGTGATGGCCGCTGCCTCTGGTGAGCTTCCTCACTGGGGTTCTTGGTCACTTCCGGGCCCTGGCAACGCATGAGACACAGCACACGTGGCTCAGGAAAGCTAGAGCTTGGGTTAAACCTCCTCCCTGACCATGACGTGTAACTAAGTTTATCCAGCCCCGTGAGGGTGCACCCTCCCAGAACCCAGACAGGGCAGTTATGGAGGGGGTCCACTGCTCCCTCTGTCCTCACTGTTACTTGCACCCCCACCAGGTGTCACATGGTAAAAGACAACACAACACGGTCTGACTGTCACCAACAGAGGTGCCGTCTTCTTTACTCTGTGAGGGAACCCAGTGAGCATGGGCTCTCCAGGCGTGGATGCTGATATATCCAAGGGTCGGATTGGGGTTTGAATGGTTCTTTTCTCAGGAAACCAGTTTATATACATCAGTTATCAGATATTACCTCAGACCTTCTTTAGACATTCTTTCTGTAATGTAGAAGCTAGAATGATTTGGGGTACAAGTGATGATATCTGACTAAATGTGGCTTAAATAAGGGCCCAGTCAGTTAAGCATCTGACTTTGGCTCAGGTCATGATCTCACAGTCTGTGAGTTCGAGCCCCATGTCCGGCTCTGTGCTGACCACTTGGAGCCTAGACCCTGCTTTGGATTCTGTGTCTCCGTCTCTCTTTGCCCCTCCCCTGTTCATGCTCTGTTCCTCAGGCTCAAAAATAGAATAGACACTAAAAAGATTTAAAAGAATTAAATGTGGCTTAAGCAATAGAGACATTTAATAGTTTTGCAAGATTAAAAACTCTGGGAGTCGAGGGGCCCAGAGTTGTTTTGGCAACGCCGTCGGGGCCCCAGCCCCTTGTGCTCCACCATCTGCAAACTGACTTGTCACCTTCGGTCTCATCACTTCAGGATCACAGCTGCTCTGGGCATCACGTCATCAGACGGCCTGGTTCAAAGGCTCAGGGTGGAGCAACATCTCATGTCTCTGTCCTTTTTATCAGGGTGAGAAATCTCTCCAGGAGCCATCCCAACAAATGTCTCTATTTTTCATCTTCTCCATAACCAGGTCACATGGATAGCCACAGCTGACAGGAAGACAGGAAGAGAAGGCGTCAGCCATTTCCCCAGCATCTTTTGTGGGAACGCTTGTCACCACGGAAGGAGGAGGAAATAAGGGTTACTGACTGAGAAAGCATCTGCCACCTGAAACCCATCCCAGCCTTTCTCCTGGTCAGATAGATGCTTTAAGTGCTTGAGGCTTGTGCTCAGAAACACCAAGGAGGAAAGGCCACCCGTAGTTTAAAAAAAAAAGCTTGTTTATATTCCTTACTATTTATACTTATGTATGCATTTATCTAGAATTATGGGCTTGACATGTTGGCATAGTTCCTTTTATGAGCTGTCCCAGGGGGTCACAAATTCAAATGCTATAAATGAAGCAGGCTATTGTTTAGAGATTAAACACGTAGGAATATTCTTAATTTCCACAAAGGAATAATCTTTCATCCATGTTTTTTTTCTTGAACTATGTGGTCCTTTTAATCTCTTTTGATAGAAAAATGGCAACAAGGTAATATTTCTTTACTACTAAGTGGGTGGTAAGGGGCTCCTGAAAGTTGGACTCCATTTTAGGGAAAGAATGGTGGAGATTATGGCAAATGAGTTTGTTCTAGAGAGAGCAGTGACCATGTAGACATAGTCAATTGTAGCCATAGCCAGCTTATAGATATTGACACATCTTCTGACTTTTAAAGAACTAGGAAAACAGATTTTAAATGAAATTTTCTTATTTAAAATGTTAATATGAAACATCTGCAGGCCAGATGCCACCCATAGGCTACTAGTTTGTGGGCTCTGAATTAGCCTAATATATCATGATTAAAAATTATCATAATTATATGATTATACTTACTTTTATTGTAACCTATCTTCTTCAGTTGACTAAACCAAATGATAAGCAACCAAATTGAAATATAATGACTTCTTCAGCTAGTTTGGGCATAATCTTATTTATTCATTTTATTAAATAAATTTTTAAAAATTTTAATGTTTATTTATTTTTGAGAGAGAGAGAAAGGGCACGAGTAGGAGAGGGGCAGAGATAGGGAGACACAGAATGTGAAGCAGGCTCCAGGCTCTGAGTTGTCAGTACAGAGCCCAACACGGGGCTCGAACCCATGAACCATGAGATCATGACCTGAGCAGAAGTCAGACACTTAACTGACTGAGCCACCCAAGTGCCCCATCATTTTATTAAATAAACTTTCAAATTGAGAACCTACTAAATTCAAGGTGTGGCGACAGGCTTAGTAAGAACAACAAAGAAAAAAAGACAGGATACCTTCCTTGGGTAGGCTGTCTTACAGCTGATGTTAATATAAAGTGACTCATATCAACATTAGCCTTGCTTTGGGTTCAGGTTGTTACCTGTCCCCCCACCCTGCCGTGTATATATATACGTTAATATGTCATTTTATTAACCTAGCGTATTTAAATAAACTGATCCTTTTCTTTTAAGGAGCATCCGTAATGCAAGCCAAAAACAAAACCAACCTGTCAACCAAAATAACCCCTCCAACTTCTAGAAAAGAGTTCTTGTTAACGTTAAGAAATCCAAACAATGGGACAATTAATCAAAGTAAAGCAAGGAACCAAAAAAAAAAAAAAGAAAAAGAAAAAGAAAAGAAAGAAAGAAAGAAAAGAGAAAGAAAAAAAACCCCACAAAGTTTTAAATTAGGTAACATGGAAGAAAGCTGACTGACACTGAATTCCTGAAACCATATCCCGTTTCAACTTAAGACATGATGATAATTTTTAAGTTATAGTTTTAAAGTTTATTTTTATTTATTTTGATGGGGGACAAGGGCAGAGAGAGGGAGACAGAATCCCAAGCAGGCTCCGCATGGTCGGTGCAGAGTTGGATGCGGGACATAAACTCATGAACTGTGAGGTCATGACCTGAGCCAAAATCAAGAGCTCAAGAGACTGAGGCACCCAAATGCGTCTTTATGTTACATCTCTAAAAACAGATTTTGTGACTAGAGAGGAGTGAGCTCCACTTTCATTGGAATTGAAATCAAATTGGCAAATACATTTCAATTTGGTTTTCTCTTACTCTTGACTATTTTCAAATAAAATTTTAATCAAGGATGTTTCACTTTTCTTTTTATCTTTTTACATTTGTTTCTATGTTGGTTACATTCTCCTCTAAAGGACATTACAAAGCCAACCATGTTTACAGTATTTAGTAAATGGAATCTGGTTTTGGACACGGATATGAGAGAAATACACTTCAGTTGGCACTTCCGTGAAAGGGACCAAGAGCTCTGAAATCATCTGCAGTTTGATTTGTGTGTTATCAAGAATTCCAAAGATTGTGAAGCTGCATCCTGAGAATATAGTTTCTTTTCTGTCTGTTCCAAGTTACCTAGAGAATGTGGTAGAAGAATACTCATGTAAGTTCAAATCACACATCCTAGAAATGGGACAATTATTAAATTCTATTTCCTCATAAGTTTGAGGAGTTGTCGAATGATTTTCAGAAAGTTAGAAATATGGCTCCTGGATTTACTATGACAAGCTCTACATTTTCTTATTTTTTGCTTATTTTTGACAGAAAGATTGACAAATTAAGAGAAAACGTAATTAGTCGACAAGAATTTCAATCAGCCATTGAAAGCATATGTAATGAATTTACATATATGTTTTTTTAGTAAAGTACTGTGCACGATGGAATCTTTGGTGATCTCACTTCCACCCAGTGCACATAGTGGATCAATTTTTTTCATGTTAAAATAACAGCTAAAGGTTGCTTTTAAGTTCACAAAAGAAAACGACATAAATTAGTGGTTCTTAGGTGAGAAACTTCAGATATTTGCCTACCCAGTAAAAAAAACTACCAATGATAAGTTCCTGGATTTGTAATGATAATATTCAGAATGAACCATTTTATTTCTATCTCTTATACATCTTGTCATCAAATAATTCACATCCTTAATTCTGTTTATTATGAATTAGTTCATCCACATGCCAGATTGGAAACGAGGCTTTTATTTCTGCTTAGTGACCATGAAAATTTCTAAGCCACCAGGTGGCAGAGTGTCCTCGGCTTAGATTGAATATTGTGTTTTTCCCACCAGTGATTGTCAAACGTAGTTTATAGCTAACGTGAGTGGCTTTCCAAACTTTTGCTCATGTGACCCTAAAATAATTCAGAAAACATTATGAGAAAAATTCTATGTATAAAATTATTCAACAAAAGTTTAAGTAACAGAAAAGATGTAATTTCTGGCATAGTGTAAACAGTGAAATTTTAAAATAAAATTATCATATGACTCTTAAATGAATCTAATTGAATGCAAATTACCACAGGGATTTGATAGCCACCGTCATCTATATAAAAATACGAAAATAAGCTCATCTTTTATAATTGGATACTTGACATTTCTCCTTTTTTTCTGTGACATCTTACTTTCCATTTTATTTTCCCTATAGAATATTATACTACTAAAAATGTTTTATGATTAAAAGCTCTGACCATATTTTTCTTCTTCTCTGCAACAAGAGTATGCATATAAATGAAATGAAATGTTTTGTATTTCCTGTGACCATAGGCTCTAAGTGTCACGTTTTTATATTTTTGAATTTCTAATATATATTAGTATATATTTCTATATTTGCCCAGTATACATTTTTCATTAATTTGAAAAATCCTGAAAAATATTAAGATACAAAAATGACTTTTTAAAAAATGTTTATGTTTGTAGGGCGCCTGGGTGGCTTAGTCGGTTAAGCATCCGACTTTTGCTTAGGTCATGATCTCGCAGTTCGTGGGTTCGAGCCCCACGTCGGGCTCTGTGCTGACTGCCAGCTCAGAGCCTGGAGCCTGTTTCAGTCTGTGACTCCCTCTCTCTCTGACCCTCCCCTGCTCACGCTGTCTCTCTCTCTCTCCCCTAGAAATAAATAAAACATTAAAAAAAATTAAAAAAAAAAGAGTCAGAGCTGTAAAAAAAAAAAAATGTTTATGTTTGAGAGAGAGAGACAGAATGTGAGTGGGAGTGGGGCAGAGAGAGAGGGAGACACAGAATCAGAAGCAAGCTCTAGGTTCTGAGCTGTTAGCACAGAACTTGATGCAGGGCTTGAACCCACGAACCGTGAGATCATAACCTGAGTGAGCCAAAATCAGATGCTTAATGATTTTGCATTAATGATTTGCATTAATGCTTAATGAATGAGCCACTCAGAAGCCCCCAAAATGACTATTAATTGTACCACTTGAATAATATTTATTGAGAATAATAAATGACAACCCATGGTTTGCTTATGTCTTCCCGCTTTGACTAGATAACCACTGTGAGTTGAGGCCTATTCTTTCATATAAAGATGCTGTAAAATTTGGAGCACAAAATATTAACATGCTTTCAAAAATTTTAAGAGATTCTTTCTTTCCTAGCATTAAAAACAGTGTTTCACTGGGGACGTGTCTGTATACACATACACATATATATACAAACATACATACATGTATGCATACATGTACATACATAGGTAACCTCAAAGTACACAGATGGGGGTAAAAGACCACATTTAAAAAATTATATTTAGGGGCACCTGGATGGCTCAGTCGGTTGAGTGTCTGACTTTGTCTTGGGTCATGATCTCACAGTTCGTGAGTTTGAGCCCCACATAGGGTTCTGTATTGACAGCCCAGACCCTGCTTCGGATTCTGTGTCTCCCTCTCTCTCTGCCCCTTCCCTCCCCTTAAATAAACAAACATTTTAAAAAATTATATTTACTGAGATATGATATTGCCTAAGTTTAGAGCTAACTCCCCAGGAGTTTAGAAAATGGCAGTTAATGGGGAGCACAGTTCTCCACAAGACCACTCGCACCTATGACACCAATTGCACATTCAGAGGAGTTCCCAAAACTACTCTCAGGCTTGATAATTTGCTAACAGACTCACAGAACACACTGAAAGTTGTTTACTCATAGTTACTCTCTACTGTGGGAAAGGATACAGAATAAAATCAACTAAGGAAAAATTGCACAACAGAATCCAGGAAAAGAACTAGATATGGAACTT